CTGCTAACCTGTTAGCTTCCTGTTAGTTTAACTGATGCTGCTAACCTGTTAGCTTCCTGTTAGTTTAACTGATGCTGCTAACCTGTTAGCTTAACTAACCCTGCTGACCTGTTAGCTTAACTAGCCCTGCTGACCTGTTAGCTTAACTAACCCTACTATCCTGTTAGCTAGGTGGAGGCTGCCCTGCTAACTAACTCTTCCGTCCTCACCAGGAGTCGTCACCACCATCTCGAAGCTGACGAAGCTGTGCGTCCTGAGACTGACCCCAGACCACCTGTTCTTCGTTCTGTCCGGTAAAGTGGCCAATGGAGGGGTCAGCATGTGGTGTGAACTGTCACAGGTAAGAGCTGAGTGTGTTAAACTACAGAACAGACTGTGCAGACCTGGAGGTCACTGCCTGCACCACCTCCCTGTTAATGCATGGGACATGGACCAAGTGATTCACTGTCTCTGTACTGTAATGGATTCTTGTACACAGCCTATGTTCAGAACCTTCAACCACCTGCATGGCTCAGCATCAGCAGGTTCTTTCAGCTCTTCCTGTCCGTGCGTCCTCCCTCCCTCCGCAGGCCAACTTCTTTGATGAGTACCAGATGGAGGGTGTGTCCCCTGAGGACAATGAGATTTGTCTGGAGGTGACTCCAGAGAACCTGTCCAGAGCCCTGAAGACGGTCCAGAACGCCAAGTCCGTCAAGGTTAAACTGACCAAGAAGCACTGCCCCTGCCTCACCATCGCTGCGGAGCTGGTGAGTGTGTGACAACAGAAGAAAGTCATTTTCTTACAGGTCAGTTTGTTGCTGTTTCTACCACAGACTCTTCTGCTACGTCCACATGAAGACTCGGATCCAGTTCTACGTTTATCTATGTTGATATCACGATGACTATTGACAGCTTTACTTTCTCTGTCTTAGTTCCTGAATCCACAATCACACATTTTGAGTGTTTTACACTGTTTGGTAAAAAGACGACGAGAGTTATGTTCAGCAGCAGGGCGGAGACATGATGTGATGTCCTCCCTTTGTCCGTCCAGCCCACCCTGTCCAGCATCAGTCGAGTCGTCACTCACGACGTCCCGGTCAACGTCATCCCCCGCAGACTCTGGCATGAATTCAAAGAACCAAACATGCCAGACTTTGATGTAAGTGTAACACACGTCCCAGTATTTAATCAAGCAGCGCACTGATTACACACGTTTATCTTACAAAGGACTCATTTTCCTCTTAAATGTGGTTCAAGTGCAGGTCACATTAAATGTGTAACTTCACGATGCTTCTCACGTCTGGAGTTTTCTGACAGTCAAGACCACGGTCGCTCAGAGTCGTTTGAACTGCTGGCTGAGGATGGGACACGTCTCTGAACGGAACACGATGTGGTGGTTTAGTTTCAACATCAAAATGAGATTATCCTCTGCCTACAAGTTTGGTTTGTGTGTTTGTCGTTGCAGGTCAGCATCTACCTGCCTCCTCTGAAGACCATGAAAAGCGTCGTGGACAGAATGAAGAACCTCTCAAACTTCCTGGTACAGTTCACACATTTAAAAACCCGAAATTTAAATTCACCTAAAGCATGAATGAAAGTTAAACAACACATTAAAACAGTGAACAGAGAAATTCTATATGTTTGAGCCATTTGAATGTTGGTTTCATCGTCGTCCATCTTTATGAACAGTTGCTGATGCAGAACAATGACATTTTATTCCTGCCACCTCCTTCGTGTGTGTGCGCGTGTGTGTGTGTGTGTCAGGTAATCGAGGCCAACCTGAGCGGACAGATGAATCTGAAGATTGAGACCGATCTGGTTTCCGTCACCACGCACTTCAAAGACCTGGGGAATCCACCGTGGGGTGAAAGGGTTTTTATTTTATTTTGAGCAGCTCTGGTTCAGATTTTCTTGCTTATTTTTTTCTCCATTACTCTGAATAATAATCTGCTAAAATAATAAGGAACATGATGAAAGGCTTCATGCTGAACGAGAACTCTGCTTCAGTATTGAGTTAGCATGCTGATATTAGCATTTAACTCAAAGTGCAGCCTTTCTTCTTCTGCCTCAGTGATAACGTGTAGCTGTTTGTGGAAGGGACAGTTTATTTTTACAGTGTGGTTAAGTCCAGAGCGGACACGAGGACAGAGAGAGAGGAATGATGTGCAAAGACATGGGTGTGTCCTCAGCTGCCACCACATAAATACGTTTTGAATCTAAAACGACCTCCATCCACTCGAGAGTTTCAGTTTTAGAAATCATCTCCCTCCTTAGTAACACTAGTTCTTAGTTTCAAGATCAACTTGTTAAATGTTCTAATAAAAAACTATTTTCCAGCTGATGAAGGAGCTGATGGTGGTTCAGGTTCAGGTTTAAGATCCACCTCCAGTTCCGTGTTGGGGGAAATATTTCACACGCTTCTCTTCCTCCTCCACTTATCTCCCCCCACCCCTCCCTGCTTCCCTCCCCTGCAGGCGACGACGCCTCACAGGACGACAGTGCGTCTCGGAGCAGGGACCCAGAGTCCATGGCTGAGGCCCGAGTGGACATCAGGAGGCTGCAGCAGTTCCTCATGGGACAGCAGGTCAACCCCAGCAAGGCCATGTGCAGTAAGTCTGCTCCTCATCCGGCTGAAAACAGTTTCATCCTCACTTCAGAGGGATTATTCATACGTCACAATATCAGCATTCTAACAGAAGAAAGGTTGAAACACCATCGTCATCTGCCTCGTGGTTTCTATAGAACCGAGAGGAACCTGTGTAAAGCACGTAAAGTTTGTTTTGCCTCTGTTGTAAAACTTAACGTCCCTGAGTCATTGTTCACTGTGATTCTGTTAGTTGAAGGATTTCACTCTCTGCTCCATCACTGTATATATTTTTGTCTTCCTGTCAGATCTCGTCTGTCAGAAGGTCGTCCACCTGATTCTGCTGCATGAAGATGTGTCGCTCCAGTATTTCATCCCTGCTGTGGCGTAGACTGCCGAGCTCACGAGTTGTTTCTGCTCGCTGTGAGTTTAGGGAAATGAAAACTGGGCTGTTTCCTGTCGGGGCCCAGGAGGAGACACGTGTCACAACAATGTCAAGAGTTCTACTGTCCCATGTTTCAGTGACCATGCTCCTTTCCAGATCTGTCGCTGGACCTCAGGAAGATACTGACCTCTGGTGGACAGATGGTAAACACACATGAAGGGACATTTGTGGCAGTTCACGAGATGAACGAGAGCAAACTTTGCACAATCCTTGTTTCAGGAAGTACAGATGTTATATTTGACATTAAAAGTGTCACAACAAGTTTTGATTGAAGTTTTTTTAACACACACACACACACACACACACACACACCTTGTGGCATTTATTTGGGTCTGTGGAGGTTATGTTTTCACCCCCATACTGTTGTACTAGACTAAGTGGATGGATGGGACGTGGGTCAAGAAAGATCTGTGTAACCGTCGGTGCGATCACGTTCTCTCACAT